TATATATATATATATATATATATATATATATATATATATATATATATATATATATATATTGTTGACCATCACTTGTATTTTTTTTGCATCGCCAATCGTGATTTACTATAACTATTGATCTATAATTATCTCATTATTAAGTCACCTTCCGCAACATAATTAATTTAAAAACCAGAGCCTTCTATGATAGCTGCATCCTGTCTGGCGAAAAATTATCATATAAAACGTCTTTTATATCAATAATTTTATAAAAAAAAAACCAGTTTACACGTCATTCTTCTTGCCGCCTAGATCCTTAAGAAGAATATAAACAATTAATAAAATTAATAAAATTATTTAAGGATTAACAGTGTATTTTTTTTTTTTTAGTAAATAGTATCAAAATTTTTATAACTAATGAACAGAGTATAAAAAAAAGTTAAAAAAAAATTATAATTTCAAATATAAAATCAATGACGTATACGATGATTTTATGAATATTAAAGATGTATGTATAAGATGTAAGCTAATGAATAATCGAACACGTCGTCGACCTTTGGCACTTATATATATGAATATTCAGTATTCACTGATAAATGTTCAATCGCCAGCATTTAATACGACACACTGCAACAAAGTACAAAATATTAATTAACAAACATGTCAATTGTTAGTGGAGCTAAGAATATTTAGAACAAAGTATTAGGTATTAATTAATGAAATAAATAGTAAGTAGTAAGTAATGTTATTTAAATAATTAGTTACAAGCTGTGAGTAATAATAAAGATGGTAAAGTTTGTATTAAAAAACAAGCCATTCAAATATATAACAAGATTTTATTATTATTAAATTAATTAATAGTTAAGTTAATAGTAAAATAGAATAAAACAAATGGTGAAATGAAATTAAAATATCACTCAACCGGATTTTCTCGTCTGGATGGTAAATCAGTGATCACTTGTTCACTAGTCTTCTCATCGTGTTTCTTTTTCTTCAACGCTTTACCACGAATATTTAACATCGTCCTTGATACCAGCCAAATAGTACCTTTCTCACAGATACAACGCAACCCATTTATTATCCCGATTATCAAACAGTGTGGCGGGTAACCTGTTGTCCGTGATTCTATGCCGACTGTTTTTAGGCATGTGTCCACAAATTTTTCAGGCGTCGGTGCCATCCATGACGCTTTCCTATTATCATTAATAATAATTCATTTATTATTTAATGATACTTAATCTGTCAATTTTTTTAATTATTAATAATAATAAAAATTAATTACAATAATAAAAAATAGATAGTAGATTTTTTAATGAATAGAAAAAAAAATTACTAGGATTGTTTAAAAAAAAAAAAAAATTTCATAATTAGAATAGCGGAATAGAACATACTTTTGAGACGTATGATATGGTACTCAAATTAAAGCTTATTTAAAAGTTATTGCAAGGAGAGCCAAAAATAGTAGAATTTTTTCGCGATTTTTGAAATTTTTAATCTGTTCTTATTCTTGATCTAATTAATTAAGATCAATAACTAAACATGAAAATTGAAGGTTGTTAAATAGGCTTTAAGATGCAATTTACAGAAATATGAAAAGTTATCGTATTCAAAAGTTATTGCAAGGAGAGATGTTATTTATTATTTTTTGGTTCTTTATACACGCATAAATTTTTATTTAAATTAATTATTTAATACCGGAATAAATTAAGAATTTTTTGTATTTTTTTTTAAAGAAGCCTACACGGGAAGAACAAGATGACACTGGATATCATCCTAGATTATACTCTGTGATATCTGTGGTGAAAAAAAACTTCAGATACTAGCTATCTCTCATTGAACCCAGTAATATCTCTGATTATACCACGTGAGATTACACTGAATATAGTATCCTGTATGACTTGGATTATCCTCAGTAGAATCTTGGATTATACCCAGTGATATTTCCAGCATTTTTTTTCTAGCGCCTGTGCACTTAGCATTATCATATCTATTATGTATTTTAGATATTAGGATAGTCAAATATTGTTTTAAATACTATCTGAAATTTTTTTTTCACCACAGATATCACTGAGTATAATCTGGAATGATATCCAGTGTCATCGTGTACTAAAAATTTTTTTTTTAATTTTCACCCGTGGAATTTTTTAATTAAATTTTTTTCATAATAATTTAAACTTTATAAAATTATAATAAAATTTCTATTAAAATAAAAATAAAATCTATTAAAAAAAAGTTCCATTGAATGAATACTTACTTAATTTTGGACATTTTTGTAGCAACGGGACCTGGAAGGACACACTGAACCGTGACATTGCGCGGTGCAGCTTCAACAGCTAAATCAGCGCTCAATTTATCAACAAACGCTTTACTAGCAGCGTAGACCGCCAAATAGGGACTGGGAATAGCTGCGGCTGTTGAACTGATATTAATAATGACACCTTTACGGCGTTCCATCATTCCCGGAAGCACGGCTCTCGCGATTCCGGTAGTAGCCGCGACATTAAGCTGGAGAATGTTGGTTATCGTTTCTTCGGTGATGTTTGTGAATATTTCTGGATGGTCGTAGCTCATTCCCGCGTTGTTAACTAATACTCCGACCTGAAAAATTACTCAGCATAAATATAAAATTTATTCAAACATTGACATTTATAAAAAGTTACCTCGAGGCCTTCGATAAGTTTCGCGATCTTGGCATAAACAGGTGGACCTTCCGTTAAATCGGCTTCAAGAACCTGAGTTTCGACTCCGTACGTAGTGCGAAGTTCTTTGGCGACTGCTTCTAATTTTACCAACGACCTGGAAACCAGGATAATGTCCATGCCTTTGGCTGCTAAAGCTTGGGCGTAGGCTTTTCCTAAGCCGTCGGTAGCTCCCGTTACTACTGCCCATTTTCCTTGGGTCGCTACGTCTATTCCTCGGCCCAAACCCGGTGCTATTATTTTTTTCCAGGTAAACACTGTTAACCGCAGTAAAATTCTAAGTCCAATGGCACCTAAAGCCACAAGCGCTAGTTTTTCCCAGCAAGTTAATGCCATTCTGTAAATAATTAATGTAAATTAATTTAGCTGATATTTAATAATTTTAAAATTTTATGCAACAATTAAATTATAGCAAAAAAAATTTATGACACTGAAATTAGCAGACGTCTAAAAATTAAAAATTTTTTTTTATTAATTAAATTATAACAAAAAATATATTTCTAAAAAATTGCACTCATAGTTTTTAAAATTTTTTACATGTGAAATTTTTTTTTTTAATTGTTTAATTGAAATTTTCTCAATAAAAAATTTTGAAATGTCGGCTAACTTTATTTTCATAAAAATTGACATTTAGAAATTTTAAAATATTAAAAATGCAATTTTTTTAAATCAAATTTTTTTACAAATTTTTTTTGTTAACGAAAATTAAAAAATTTTCAAGTTACTGCTAACTTTAATATCGTAAATAATTAAATTTATTTATTAATTTATTTTAAAATTTTTATTTATAAATATCTGTAAAATATAAATCGCTACCTGATGCGTTCTACTACCGCACAACTTTTATAATGTAATGATAACGATGTTGTAAATTTAAAGTGATATATTGTTTTTTCAATTAACTCCCACCACTGTTTACGCTATAATTTAAATATTTAACATTCAGCTTTTATTAATGTAATCAGCGGAAGGGTTTTATAAAACAATACTATTGTTGTCAGTGACTTTATAAGTAGTGAACCGTCACCGGGCAATCACTGTTTTATGATTTCTTAAATGAAATTTTTATTACGCACATTTTATGTGTTACAATAAAATAAAACATTTCAAAATTTTATATTATGTCGGATAATTTTATATTTGTTATATAATAATATCCGCGTTATTGAAATTTAATTTTTAACTTCCCGCTAAGAAAATTGGAAATTTTTTTTTTAATTTATAATAATCATCAAAATAAAAGTAATATTAAAAAATGAAAAAAAAAAAAAAAAAAAAAAATTT